CTAAGGAGTCCCTTAAGAAGGAGAGCCTTCCTGCAATCAGGGGCTCAGGGTAACCCTTGTGATTAACTCCCAAGTAAAAGACATGGAGCCAAGCCTAGTAGACAGGACTTGGCGATAAATTAGATGAAGGTAGTCCAAGGAAGTGTTCTTCTGATTGACTGAAAGACATTCTGAGATAATTACTCTTTTTCTTGTTACCCTGGAAGGTCTCCTCCTGGAAGCCTTCCCCCAGACAGTGGAAGAGTAATGGTGATTTTCTTGACATACAACCCCTCCCCATCCCAGCTTCACCCCCTCGTCCCCTGCATTTAATGAGCTCACTTGGTGCGTTATTGCACGTCATGTAAATACCCCTGGTACCCAGGCTTTGTTTAATCACTGTCCCTTCAGCATCATCCTGTAAAAGTGGACTCATGATACATTACATTTGTAGGTGCTTTACAATTTGCAAATTGTATCCCCAGTCATTGTTTCAGTGAACTGGGGCTGTAAAGTGCTATGTACAGTATCTCTTTCGGAGGTAAACCAAGCAGGGGCCCGGGAGAGGGGCTGTGATGAGGAAAATGAGGGCTGTCAAGATTTTAATCCGCATTTAGAAGTCCTGGTTTTCAAACCTAGGTTTATGAAATGTGACCCAACAGAGAGAATACAGAAAAACACCAATAACAGCTCAACTTGTGTCAGGTCAGAAAAGCACTCCACGTTTCCATGTGCTTTCTTATTTTAATTCTCAAAGGAAGTTTAGGGGATAATTTTTATCTCCCATTATCTCTATTAGGAAACTGAGGCTCAGGGAGTTTACGTAAAATCCTGAGTTACACACGTGCACGGTGGGGGTGGGAGGTGACTTTCTCACCCAGGTCTGTCTGTCTGTCTGCAAAATCCGAGTTGCCGAGCCTCTCAACAGAGTAAATAATAGAGAAAAAAGTATCATTCAGATACCACCTCCTTAACATACTGTTAGCAATTTAGGCTTATTTCCTTTGTTTATTGATCTAAAGAAAACTAAATTAAAAACAACAAGAAGTTGGTAATCAGAGGATATGTAAAATGTTTCTATCCTGTTTTCTTTTTTCACTATCTTCCTTCTTGCTTTGTGATATCATTTTAAATGATTGCATACTTCCTCCAACTCAATATTTAAAAAGCTAATAACCTGATTTAAAAAAATGATTTAAAATTGACATTTCTCCAAAGAGGACCTACAAATGGCCAATTGGTACGTGAAAAACTGATGAGCATTACCAGTCATCAGGGAGAATGCAGATCAAACCACAATGAGATATCACTTCATATCTGTCAGGATGCCTGTTATCAAAAAAAAAACAATACAAACATATGGTTGCCAAGGGGACAGGGGGTGGGAAGGGACAGACTGGGATTTCAGAATTTGTAGATACTGACAGGCATATGCAGAATAGATAAATAAGATTATACTGTGTAGCACAGGAAAATATATACAAGATCTTACAGTAGCTCACAGCGGAAAAAAAATTGTGACAATAAATATATGTATGTTCATGTATAACTGAAAAATTGTGCGCTACACTGGAATTTGACATGACATTGTAAAATGACTATAACTCAATAAAAAAAAAGTTAAAAAAAATGAAACAGACTGGGGAGGGGAGGGCATAGCTCAGTGGTAGAGCACATACTTAGCGTGCATGAGGTCCTAGGATCAATCCCCAGTACGTCCATTTAAACAAACAAACAAACAAACCTAATTACTTCCCCCTCCCACATAAAACAACAAAACCAAAAATGAACTTTGCTCTATATGCCACATAAAAAAAGGGGAAAAAAGGAAAAAAAAAAGAAGAGAAAAGCATCAGTAAGGATGTGGAGAAATTGGAACACTTGGGCATTGTTGGTGGGAATACAAAATGGTGCAGCTGCTAAGGAAAACAGTATGGAGGTTCCTCAAAAAATTCAAAAGAGAGTTGCCATATGATCCAACCATCCCACTTCTCTTACCCAAAAGAACTGAAATCTGGATCTTGAAACGATATTAGTACTACTATGTTCATGGCAGCATTATTCACAATAACCAAGATAGGGAAACAACCTAAATGTACATTGACAGATGAATGGATAAAGAAACTGTGGTATATGCACACAATGGAATATTATTTAGCTCTTAAAAGTAACGAAATTCTGCAATATGCAACAACACAGAGCGGACCTTGGGGACATCACCCATAGTGAAATAAGTCAAGCACAGTATGACAAAGACTACCTGATTGCACTTACAGGAGGTTTCGAAAGTAGTCAACTCATAGAATCAAAGAGTGGAGCTGTGGTTGCCAGGGCCTGGGGGAAGGAAGAGGGGCATAATCCATGGGCATAAAGTTTTGGTCAAACAGATGAATAGGAAGCTCTAAGATCTGCTTTGTGACACTGTATCTCTAGTCAGCTATAATGTACTTATACACTTAACAGTTTGTTACGAGGGTAGATCTCACGTTGTGTACCTACCACCATAAAGTAAAATTAAAACAAAAAAGATCACATACTATTCCACGTGAATTATGTTCTTTGGAGAGATTCCGTGGAGACATGGAATTGGTAGGTCTGATTCATAGAAGAATATGAAAGGTTTTATGTTTTAATTTTAACTTTTAAAATTGAGATATAATTGACATATAACATTGTATAAGTTTAAGGTATACAAAATATTTTTATCGTTTTTGATACACATGGCTGAATTGCTTTCAAAGGCTGTATTAATTTGTAATCCAACCAACAATTCTGAGTGTCATTTTCATCACATTCTTGCAAGCATTAATTGTTAAAAAATGAAAACATAGAAACCAAAAGTCCAACTTGTTTGTTTAATATATACCAAACTGTTCACAGTGGTTAGTTTGGAGAGTCGGCTGGGGCTGGTGGTGCTGAAGGAGGGTGTCTGTTTTCCACTTTATCTAATGTGGTGCTATTGCGAATATTTTACTATAGGCGTATATTACTTGTGTTATACATATGTAGTATTTTCAACTTTTTATTTTGAAATAATCTGTCTTACAGAAAAGTTGTAAAAATAATACAAAGAACGCCCTGTATTCCCTTTGTAATATGTTTTTAAAAGATGAAGCAATTAAAAGAAATGTCCCCCAAATGTCAGTCCTTACATCACTAAGACTCTGTAAGGCAGAGTTTCTAATCGGGTGGAGCCTAACAGCAACTTGAGGAAATGGTCATGAAAATGCAGACTCTTGGGCCTGAGCAGGATCTATGAAATTGGAATGTTTGGTGTCGGGGCGGCAAGACTGAAAATCTGCATTTTAAACAGCCTCCCCCTCTTTCCCATGTGGTTCTGGGGCCCCTCAAGGGCTGAGAACTGCTGTTGAAAAGGTTGCTCCTTTTGATTTGATTTCCTCCGGCAATACTGTGGCTTCCTTACTTGGAAAGCCCTCAGTGTGTAGGGGTTGAGAAAAGTGAGTGAAATCTGAGCATCTCTGTTGCAACTTTTCACACTTTGTGCTGCTACTGCTTAGCCGCGGCCAAGCTGTCTGTAATGTGTTTCCTCAAGAGCCTGCTGTCTCCCTCAAACTGCAAGAGACCATTCCAGGGAAGGGCAGGTCCAGAAAGCCGTGCGGTGTGGATGGTGGTGGTCCTTCTCCCCCTCGGCCCACCAATCCTGGATTCTCCAGGGAGTGGTGGCTGGAGGCCTCCCCATCTCCTGGCTCCCTGGCAGGTGCGGCCAGGAGGCCCTGAAATAGGGAGGGAGCCCAGAGTGCGTCTCCAGGTCCTTTTGCGCCTTCTTTTGCCTAATGCTGATGCTTTTCCGAGCACCCTTTGTTTCCCTGGGACGCCGTGGGCATGGCCTTTCCCCATGTATGTTACACCGATGGCTATTTACCAGGTCGTCTCCGTGGGGGCCACCCTCGTGCCGGCCCTCACCTGCCCCCACCTTCCGCACCCCCTGGCCACAGCAGCCCACCTTCCTCTTCTCCTAGAGCTGTTTCCAGCTCATGGATCTGACCATGTTGCCTAATAACTTAGCTTGGTGACTGAGTGACTATGAAAAAGAAATAGTGAGAAATATGGCCAGAAGGAAGGCAGAAAGCTAAGCTGTAGAGAGTTGAATTTAAGATGTCAGAAGACTGCTGCTGTTGTTTTTAATGTTGTTTGGTACTAAGTTTATTGTTTTCTACATTAAAAAAGTAATACGACCCACCAGGTGTT